GAACAGGGATAAGAGCCTGGGATGCACGCGCAGTGGTTAACGCGGCAGCGTTAACCACTACACTATCGGCACCCTAAGGCAGTCAACAGGCGAACCAAGGTTTTGACCACGTGTGGCCGTGTGAACAAGTAAGGAGCGTGTTACAGTTTTGTTCCCCTGTCCTTCAAATTACGTGGCCGGTGCGTAGCAGCTGTCACACGGCCAGCTTCCTATGGTTGGGGAGAGGGGGGGGGGGGAGGGTTCAGCTCAGGGTACATCTAAGAACGGGGAAGAGGTAACTGGGTGGGCCATTTCCCCCGAGGTCTTGGGAGTAGGAGAGAAGTCGTATTTCCCTCGAGGCCAATCTTGCGGGTATTGGCGCTGTTTACTTGTCTGTTCCAAAATAACAGCTGCATCCGTCCTTGGCTGGCCGGTAGGCCTTCCGGAAAGGGCTAGTAGCTATGAGGGCATGTCAGCTGACCCGAGCGTGTTAGCACACGTTGGATGCCTCGCATGTCCGCCAATATGGAGAGTTCGCAAGCAAAATGAATGGAAAACAGATGATAATAAAAGTCCTTTCTGAGGCATTTCACAGTAGCTCAGGGGAGGGGGGAGGGGAAGCAAGCCTGAAAAAAATCGCTGAAAACCGAACTTAGCACGTCGCAGGCTCACACAATTTGTGGTATAGTATAAACACCATCACGTTTTTCGTTCTTATTTTTGCGTGCCCTCCTGGAATTTTGGGCTGTCAACTTTTTCACGTCCATACCGCCTATGAAATTGGTTATGTAACATAACGGACCGACCGATATTGAAACGTTAGCTGTATTGCGTCTATGAGAACACTTGTAGTGCTTACTACCTGGAGCTTATGCATCAGAAATTTTCTCGCGCATAGCTCACTGCATTTCACATAAGCTTACAAGAGCCGTACTTCGTGGCTGTCCTGATGAGTACCGAGGGTTCTGCTGTTGCCCCAGCTCACCGACCTCGGTGACGTCACCCGTCAGGTGTTCGCCTTGAACTGTTTCAGTCTCACAACGCTTTTCATTTCATTTCACAACGCCTGCTCTATCACTATCATCAGCGCCGCATTATTTTACGCCAATGGCTGCAGCTGGTGACACGTCTCGAAGACTCCACGTGTCGGTCGCAAAACTCGCGGGCGGTCTCCGGGCCACGGTTACCCTCGGCGGGTATGTGCAGTTTGACGGAGCACGACGTATGCCTTACGTGCCGTGGGAGGTCAGCTTTTGTCTTAGTTTGGCCGGCCAGCTCAACAAGTCGCCGGCAGGGCAAACACCGCGACATCGGTCAATGATGTTTGTGCGAGCGCCGGTACCGTCTGCTCAACCGATATCGGTCATGAAAAGCATCGGCTCACGTACTGCGTGCCACAAATGAGCCATTACTCGCTGCCGGGCGTGGCACGTCCAGTGAATGCGGCGGCCGGCTGTGTGTCACGAAGATCGATGCCGCTGCATAAAAGCGGTAGCTTGCTGGCGGAATTTGCTGACTGCTGGCAAGTGCACGGGCGTTGCTGCTTGCCATGGTCGCTCTGGCTTTAAGCGCGCTGGTTGCGCCGCTTGGGGCGGGGAAGGGGAAGGGGAGGGGAGGGGAGGGGAGGGGAGGGGAGGGGAGGGGAGGGGAGGGGAGGGGAGGGGAGGGGAGGGGAGGGGAGGGGAGGGGATACCCACCTAGGGTCTGGCTGGTAGCCCTTTGTAATGGCCGAAGCAGTATGGAGCCAGCTTTAGCGCATGTATGATGCCTCGGTGCTTATTTACAAAAGTTTGGCGCCGATGTACGTGGCTCGTAAATCTCAGAAATGTATCAACTTTAATGCGAAAGCGGTCGGTGAATTCATGCACGTGATAATGCAGTTAAGTGATTTGGAGCCCCACCACCACATATTTGGAAGGCTTGGAAAATTGCGGCTGCATGAAATGAAAAGTCAACTATCACGACGAAAGATGCCAGCCTATGTGCGTGAAACATAGCTTTAGAAAGCAAGCAGCGCTGCAAATATCAAGTCAACACCTTTGCACACTGTTCTTCTTTTGTATCGATGTTACAAATCTTCCAACCTTCTGTCCCAAGTCTTCCAGCAGTGCTCCCAGACCACCCCATTTACTCCAGTTCACCACATTCTATTTAATATTAGGCCAATATTCCATGTTTCTTTTCTGATTATCCAATGTGTGATGCCGTGTGTGATGTGCATTTTAAACAATGTGTCTCGTGTGGTAGTCTAGCGTCTCGGCTATTCTCCATTTCTTCCCCGAACCGCCGGCAGTCCGTTCCAGCAGCATATGTCTGCTCTGCACGATCAGGGCTTGCCTCGTTTCGCGAGGCTAACAACGGCGTGATAACCCTGTGGCATTCCCAACGCCCTCGTAGAGGTCGGCGCCCCGGGTCCCACGGGGTCCCCGGGCCGCACGGGGTCCCCGGGCCCCACGGGTCACCGACGCAGGCTGGGCGCGGCGCGCGGGTCCTCGCTCGCGGCCGGAGGCGGCTGAAGTTCGGACCTCTTATTCGTGGGTGATCATAAACTGATCGGGCGGGAATATCGCCCACGGCTGAATGGATTTACGGTTATTATACTGCTCCCCGGCGGTCTGTTTCCGACGCGTCTGAAAACGTTAGAGCGGCGGCGCGTTTGACGAGCTGTGAGCGAAGTCGGCAGTCTCCGCGCGTGCCAATGGGAGTGTCAGCGGGGTGCGACCAGTGCTGTGTGCGTTGCGTTCGGCTGGCTGGTATCGGTCCGCCCACGCGATCGCTGAGGGTCCGCCCATTCAACAGGGCAATTTTGACGCCGGCGTGAGAGTCGGACTGAGGGTTTGCCGCAGAGCGGTGGGACTGTCTGCGTCGGTGCACCTATCCAACGATGCCGCCTCCGACCCGAGCGTGTCCTTGTCGCCTGGCTGGGTCTGCTGTGTGCGGTTCATGTCTGATTGGATATTGAATCACAAGCGGTCACAACAACAGGCTGAATCGCAGGTCGTCATCGCTAGTTATCGATACAGCGATTGCGTGCTACGACACGTGCATCATGCATTGCCCTGGTGTGGGGCTGGCCTTGCTCGCACATCGGGAGTGGGCGCTGTCCACTGCGATGGGTCGTTCGAATCGCCGGTGAACTGGATCGGGCCCGGGCAGCGAGGATGCCTGTTATTCCCCGGATTTGTCGAATTCAGGCCGACGAAGACGGGTGTGTGTCCGGGCAAGCCCACAGTGCTCTGGGTCGGGGGGTGGCCGCGGACGAGTCCGTACCGGGCAGGCCCAGAGTGCTCCGGGTCGGGGATGGCCGTGGACGAGTCCGAACCGGGCAGGCCCACAGTGGTCCGGGTCGGGGATGGCCGCGGACGAGTCCGTACCGGGCAGGCCCACAGTGGTCCGGGTCGGGGATGGCCGCGGACGAGTCCGTACCGGGCAGACCCAGCGCGGTTTCGGCCCATGTCGATGCCGTGGCCGCCATTGATTTGGCCCAGCCCGGCCCGGCCCGGCCCGGCGGACGCCATCGATCCAGCGTTTGGACGCCCCCCTCCCCCGCCGGCGGCGGCCGCGGCGACGCCACCCGGGGCGCGGCGGAGAGCGGCACCCCGTGGTGGGACGGCCGGGCCCCACAGATGAAATCGGCGCTCGGCCGCCGCTCGCGGATTGTGTCCTGATTGGGTCGGGGCTGGGCCGCCGGGAGGAGGGGAGCATAGGGAAGCGGGGAGCGGTCGGGGCTGGGTCGACAGGGAGCAAGGGAATGTGGGGAAGCGGCCAGCGATCAGGGTTGTGCTGATGGGGAGGAAGGGAGCGTGGGGAAGCGGCGATCGGTCAGCTGGGGGCTGGGGTGGGGAAGCGTAGCCACGCTCTTTCGCCGCCTATCCCTCACCCCAGCCGGCTGAGATGGGAAGACAGGATCAGTCTCTCCACTTCCCGTCAATTTCGCCGCATGCAAGAGGAGGCACAGTCAGCATCCCCCAATTCGTCGCCTTACAGGATCAGAATGTGCACAGTCACCCCCGCCCCCCCCCCCCCTCCAAATCAACGCCTGAGAGTGAGGAGAGGCCCTGTCATCCATCCTCCAAGCCAACCCACTTACTTAGAGCCTTAGAGAGGGAGGAGAGACGGGGTCAACCGTCCTCCAAGCCACCGTCTGTGGTTGGGGATGCGCAGTACTCTCATCTTTCTGCTATGCACAGGAGACGAAAGGCACAAACTCGATCCTTTTTTCTGATGCTTGGCAGAGAATTTTACTGTCACCACTCATTACTCCTTCCTCTTATGCCGCCAGAGAGGAAAGGGACCTCTGTATATATCCTCGTCCCCAACAGCATGGAGAATGACTGACGCACCTTCCCTTACACTCCCCCCTGTCAGTCACTAACGGGAAAGACACCTCTTCCCCTCCTCCTTCCCACCCCACCGCCTTTGCGAGGAGGCACACCGCGCTCAACCGGCCGAAGATGACGACGGACGGGAGGCCGATACCATGGCAACCCCGGCGTCGAACTGCACTGGCGGCGCCCGGCTCTAACCGGCATCCATCAGCCGGTCTGACCCGGGTGGCTCAATTGCTACCCTTCTGGTCGGCCGGGCCTGATCCGGGTGGCGCCCGGGGCGCGATGCGTCTCGCGTTATTGCCGCTCCGGCGGCATTATGCGCCCAGCCAGCATGCTAATGGGTGGCATCGCTCGCCATCATTTAGCCGAATGGCGAAGAGCGGCGTTTTTAAGCCGGTCGTATGTGGCGTTACGGCATCACAGTGGCTAATTCTTGCGACGTAACGACCGGCGACGTGTAATGGGAGTAGCGGATCTCCATGACGACTGAGCCAGTCTCACGTGATGAAGTGGTGCGACCGCCTACGGCTGTCCCGCTCGTGGTCTCCTGTTTCAGACGCGTGGTCTCCTGTTACGGATGCGTGGTCTCCTGTTACGGATACGGACGTGCCGACGGGAGCTGGGACCGGTGTCCCGTGATGGCGCTGTGTGGCTCTTTCCGGGTGTTAGTCTGCTGTCCGCTTGTTACAGATGCGGACGACACGGCATCGTTTCAAAGCAACCACAGCGACGGCGACTTCTTCCGCATCCTGCTGAGGGAGGAGAGCTTCATCATCGTGGGAGCAAGGTAACGATCCTGCCTGGCTGATGCCAACTTATGTTGCGTAAGCACGGCGCCGAGATGCTTGTAAAGCTCCCTCTTACCGGGCTATATATGCTTGGCATGCCTTTGAGCACATGCTGCCCGGATTCCCACCGGACTCCCAACGGACTCCCACCGGACTCCCACATGTCCCCCTCAGGCGCTCAGGGACGTCCCGCGCCGCTTGTAATTGCGCCGCACGTACAAAGCCCTTTACAATTAGTACCACGACATCATTTATTCAGGAATCGCTCCTGTAATACATCACAATTAATTGGAGGATTAAAGTGAATTAGGCGGGGCTCGGGGTGTCGCTGCCATGTCATTGCACTATTCCCGGCGCCGCGATAGATGGTCTCCTCGAGGATGTATTTACCAGGCGTCTCGATTTCAGTAAAATTATTCATGTTATATATTAATAATTCATGTTTTGGTCTCCCTGGCTTGGAAAAGGATGCGTATGCAGATCATCTGATGCTGCGATTTGCTTATGCACTGACTCATGATGAGCAACGGGTAGTCCCCAAATATGGCTCTATCAATAATTTGAAACGTGATAACGGAACTTAATGACAGAAACATAGCGTGTTTGACGCGCTCACAGTACAAATATCGATAGATAGTCCCCAAATACCACTCAAGTCAATACCATGAAACAACAATGAAGATGAATGCAAAGAGCACAGCACGGAAGATGCGTGCATAGTATAAGCACATTCTATTTCTAAACAGCAGATGAAACCAATTTCACAAGGATTCCAACAGACCATCGGCTTCAGGCAGGTTTCCACATGATATCAAAAACGCCGTGAGTGGCATGGTAATGGCCAAAGGGCATATAGCAAGTGAAGTGTGTGGAGTCCCAGGGTCACTTGAACCATGCGTGATGGTGCGTTTCATCTTTTTCTGTTCAAGATACGCCAGAAAATACTTTGGCATTCGAATAGGTGTGTTGGAATAAACACGTGTGATGTCGATCATTATAAATATTCGCGACGCTTCGCGCACTTCTGAAGGGTGCTCCTTAGCCTGACGCCGCTAGTGTTGACTCGAAGGTGTGCGTTTCGCACGTGACTCATGCTGGTGTGCTCACAGGGAAGCGGTGTACAACCTGAGCCTGACTGACCTGAGTCTAGTGCGGGTGAGTAGCTACTCTGGGTGGCGCCAGTAGCTCACGGAGCGTGCAGAGTCACCGTTTGCGAGGGCGCAGTTTACGAGGGATGTGAGACAGCGACTTTTCCATTTGGCTGTCTGGGAATGGTTTTGTGATTCATACGGAGCCTTCCGATGCCTTCGTATCGCCAGGCTTGAACGCTCTTGACCACAGAAGTCAGGGCCACTGTTTGTCAGCGGTCATCACTTTCACTGCACTGCATGACCCAACACCGTCGTCGACGGCAGACCGAGGACGCCGCGATCATGCTCGTGCATCCCGAACCGGCGCAGGCGTGCGTGGCGAACCCGAAAACACTCGACCACAGAGACGCTATCACTGCGTGGCTGTGACGTAGTCACTGTCCGCTGTTACCGTTACTGCGCTGCGACCCGGGCCGACCACGAGTGCCATCGTACACGGACGTTCATCGACGGTGGACAGCAAGAACATCGGGTGCCTGTGACATTGCCTCCTATCGGTTAAATGAAGACATCCTCCACACGCCCCTTTCCACACCTCCGCCCTCTCGCATTAACACGTGCCCGGGCGACCGGTTGGATATCCTTCGCTCGGGTGGGGGTCAATTTGACCCCTGAGATCCCGGAAACTAAGAGAGCTGGAAACACTGAATTCGCAGGGTGCATTGACCTGTACGTTAACTCATTTAGGCTAAAGTCTGAGGTTTCTAGATTGCGACCTTCGGGTCAGATAAGGTCAAATAAGGTCAAATAAGGTCTAACTCCAGGTTGGTCTTCAAAGGGCCCCTGAAACCTATATAACTGTTCTAAGCAACAACTCAAATGCTCATTTAAGGTCAGAGACCTTGTTTGACCTTTTGAATGTCATGGTGGCCAAAATCATACAAGACTGCTTTGAGTTTTGCTTTTGAATATGCGACAAAAATTATGCTAGATAGTATGTTCCTAAAGCCAAGACGTTAACCCGGGTCACTTTAGGTCAGTGACCTATTCTGAACTTTAACAAGCCCATGGAAGGTGTATAACGCGGTTGCTGTTACGAATGAATTCGAAATGAGCGCTAATGAGAGCACAGTTGAGAAACTACCCCATACAGCAAGCCCTAGAGTAATAAAACAGGTTGGTTTTGATCTTGGTCTGACCTTTATATCTGCACCGAGGTCAATGTCATTTGTTCATTCAACTGTTGTGTTCCCCAAGAAAGCATCTCAGAGATGTGTGGCTTCGTCTAACACTCCGTTGTTGGATCAGATTGAACGATTGCCTCGAAATTGCCTTCGCTGAAACCATGGTCTGACTTTGACCTGTCATAGGTCAGCGACCTTACAAGAAACATCTAATTTTTATGCCAGGCCATCTGCCATTCAATTGCGTGCAGTCATACCAAATTGGGCGCGGCTGTCCCGCACCGTTCGGAAACCATTCCGAAAAACTTCGGCGAGGTCAATTTGACCCCCACCCGAGCGCGTGTTAAATGATGGTGTCCACGGTACACATTTGCCCTGAGGCGCCGCTCTGCGCCGGCCCGCCTCCGGCGCCCGGGGAGCGGGCTGCCCGCTCGCGCAGTAACCGGCACGACGTGCGACGCCATGGGGCGAACCGCGTTCGTTTGTGAGCATGACAACCGAAAGAAGGCAGCTACCCACGAACGTTATCCATTGGTAAATGAGCCTAGGAAAGGCTTGGTTGGGATAATGTTTAACATATGGTGCAACCAATTTAAGAAAAAATGTCTTGAACTGATGGAATCGCAGGACACGTGGTTGGATGTAGATGAGCAATTGTGCGCAAATGTGAAGCACAATTACAACATCGCACCAGTTCATCCTAACACTAGTCCGACAACAAGACCATCGCTCTCGCAGTTGATCTGTTCTTGTTTTTGTCATTTCCGGGCTTCGGAAATGCAATAGTTCACTCTGATATGCTCGTTTTTACAGGTTTTACAAATCCAAATAACCAGCTTTGTTAACAACGTATCCTGCCATCCGAGCCATCGTTATCAACCAATTATTGTACAAAATTAATCAATCGAGCTGCAGCTGTAATTTGGCATCGAAGGGCCCTTGAAAGAAAGGCATACATATAATATTCATCGTGGTGATTACTTGATATTTCCGTGCATTCTACATTGTCCAAATCTGCATTCGCTGTCTTGATTTTTCCATGCTTTTACCGCAGTTCACTGGTAAAACTTTACCGACAATCTAATTAAACCATCGTGCCCGGCTTCCAAGCTTATCGCCGTGGACTGCAGCCACGCTTCGCTCTGGCTGATGATTCATGACCTACTTAGCCGCCGCTCTCCCGCTAGTGTATCTGTTGCCTGGTGATGCCGCTGCGGAGATAGCTGGTCAGAGATATCAGCCGCTTTATGGAACACAGAACATTGGTTGGCGTGTTATCGATGCTGGTTAGCAATGATTTCAACTATCTTGATGGACATTTTCGTTTGTAGATATTAGCGCCGCCCTTCGTCTCCTCCCACCCATTACGTGTGTGTGTGTGTGTGTGTGTGTGTGTGTGTGTGTGTGTGTGTGTGTGTGTGTGTGTGTGTGTGTGTGTGTGTGTGTGTGTGTGTGTGCGTGCGTGCGTGCGTGCGTGCGTGCGTGCGTGCGTGCGTGCGTGCGTGCGTGCGTGCGTGCGTGCGCCCGTGCGTGCGTGCGTACGTGCGTGCGTGCGTGCGTGAGTGTGTGCGTGCGTGTGCCCGCGCGCGCGCGCGTACGCGCGGAAGCAAGCTCTAGGGATGTGCATGGAGCGAGCAACCTAAGTACGTAATCACACACTTCCAAACAACCCCGTGTCGTTTTTCATAAGCAGGTGGCGCGCTTGTTTCGGGAGGGCACGGGGCCCCCGTGCAGCGGTGAGGCCAGCACCCCCATTACGCATTATACACAGAGGTGCCGGGCATGAAGTGCGAACCACTGCAGGGTAGATCAGTGCGACGCTCATCGTTGACCATGAACGACGAGCAAACGAAGCTGTTCCAGCCTTGCGATCGGTGTCAGCATAGCGTCAACGTATCAGCGTTAACGTGTCAGCAGCGCCACAGCCACGACCTTGACTCTCCACATGGTTTGAGGGGCGACGCAGGCTCTTCGGCGTTCACATCTCACTTCGATTCGTCGCTGCTCTAAGAAATAAGTGAAGCAATCCACACATCAACTGGCAACTAATGTATGATCTCTGCTCACTCGGTTTTCAGGCATGTCCAAACACAAACGCTATCGCTTCTTGGGCTGTTCGGGTTCTCGCCGACTTAATGTGCCAACTTCTCGGGGTTATAGGAGGCTCAGAGTCCAGCGCAGGGGTTGCTCGGGAGTCCGGAACGGTCCGCGAATTGGCTGGCAACAGAACGGCCTGTCAGAGACGGCAGGCTCCGTGCGGAGCCGCCGCTCAGATTGGCTGGCGACAGGACGGCCTGTCGTGGAGACGGCAGGGCAGCCGCTCAGACTGGCTGGCGACAGGACGGCCTGTCGCAGAGACGGCAGGGCAGCCGCTCAGATTAGCTGGCGACAGGACGGTCTGTCGCAGAGACGGCAGGGCAGCCGCTCAGATTGGCTGGCGACAGGACGGCCTGCCGCAGAGACGGCAGGGCAGCCGCTCAGATTGACTGGCGGTAGGACGGCCTGTCGCGGAGACGGTAGGGCAGCCGCTCAGATTGGCTGGCGACAGGACGGTCTGTGGCGGAGACGGTAGGGCAGCCGCTCAGATTGGCTGGTGACAGGACGGCCTGTCTCGGAGACGGCAGGCTGCGTGCGGAGCCGCCGCTCAGGGCCTTCGTTCGAAACGCTCCGGTGGTCACGGAAGAAACCCCGATGGAAACATTTGCGCGGCAGTTTGCGGTGATGGTCGCTGGAATGGGTGCTCAAGAGGACGTAGTACGAGTAAGCACGCATTTGTTGGATCTTCAGAAGCGTGGGACATGGGTTCGACATTTGGAAATTACGTGGAGGGTACTGGGATCAAATTGCGTTCAATTACATAATTACTTTACGGACGACTCTTATAGTTAAAGATGGCCTAATGAAGAACATTCGTCGGCCGCGTGACTTCGTGGTTAACGTTATCGGCCATGGAGACCCACAGATGCAGTTTACCAGGCTAAAGGCTTCTTTTGAAAAGATCTTGGCGAATGCAATGTTAGGGGCAGGGGACTAGTGCTGCATTCTGGATAAGATCTGATGGAACTGCTGCGTTGTGCATAGAAGGCACGTTACGGCTAAGCGATGCCTCGATGGAGCGTTTAGTAGCCGTATACTCATATTGATGGAAAACATATGCCCAAAGAGATAGTGATGTATTCCATGCATGCCACGTTATCAGTACATCTGCATAATTATGAGGTCAGCATACGGGTTGGCCACGGGAACACCGGCTCAAAGTGAGCACCGGTGTCCCCCTCCCCGGCAGTCCATCGCTACACTGGTGAAGCAACATTCACAACATTAAATCACTGAGCTATTGACATGTTTTGCTTTGCATAATCTTGTTAACGCAAGGTCACTGACACACAAGCATAACAACGATGCTTAGCGATACTCTTCATCACAAAATTTGTCTTCGCTGATCATAAACTGCTACCAGCTACACTTCAAAGTCGGTGCACGCTGCCATGTCTACGCACCGTCCACTTCCACACAGCACTCCCGTGTCCGTCCAAACACCGTCACATCCGTCGGCGCGGGCGACGCCGGCCGCCGACAGCTGGGCCAGGCGGCCGGCCGACGGGACGCGGCTCAGCGTGACGCCCCAGAGGCCGGCCTCTTTGTGCTCTGGCCGGCTGCGCCAGGACGCCGCTCCAGCGGCGCCGGCCGCGCTTCCTTATGGCCGTGGCCGGATCGGTACCGCGCCGGCCGTGCTGAGTCGGCTCGCTCGCCAGCGCCAGCGTCTCCACGGGGCACGCCGGCACCGGTGGGGGGGGGGGGGGGGGGCGCAGCGGACGCGGCTTGAGCCTCTGCGTATCGCTACATACACCAGCATTGGTTGGTTTTAGTGGGGGCGCGCCGCATGCTCAGTTCATGCCATGGCTACATTTGCATCGCCGCGCCCAGTGGAGAGCAGACTGGTGAAAGTTGCCTGCGGTGGGAGTAAACTCCAACTGGTCTCTCCCCACTTCTACATTCTATCCCTCATCATCTCCCCGATCACCTAACGAAACACGGACTTCCATTTCGCTTCTTTGCCGATGCCACTTAATGGAAACCTGGTGACCTGACCTCGTCCACGGACAGTCGACGGTCGCCGCCCGACTGACGCCGCCGTGCCACTGAATGGGAGGTAGCCTGGTGACCCGACGTCGTCCACGGACAGTCGACGGTCGCAGCCCGACTGACGACGCCGTGCCACTGTTGCAGAAGCTGAGCTGGGCGTCTAACGCATCCACCGTGGAGCTATGCCGCCTCAAGGGAAAGCCGCCGGTAAGGGATCACTCGATACCGCGGCCACCACGGACATCCTCCTGGCGGGGGTGCTCCGTAATGCCACACACGCGCTGCTGCGACAGCCGGCCAATCCTGTTAGGGCAGACGTTACGCGGAATACGGCTGTTCTATGCACCCGGACTTGACAGCCGTGGTCCGTGTGATGAAACAAACGAGACTTTCGCAGCGGCAAACTTTGCCTACGGACCAAATGGTCATTGTCTGTGAGGCATGTCAACAAAAGACACCCGCAGCTATGAACATGCCCTCAGCCTTGGGCATGAACCAACTCTGGCTCGGAATTGTCAGCGAGTAACACAAAACTGAGGACACAACTGTTTTTCTGTCCCAGGCCGTCATCCTGCACACATCTGCGTTGTACAAATATATTGACATCCCTCGTTTTGTTCAGCGTTGGCTTCATCACGGTTTCATTTGACGGCTTTCACCGCAGCATCTCTCACGGCTCCCTCATCATCGTCTGCAGGTGCAGTGCCAGAACTACATCCGCATCCTCGCGAAGACTGAAGACGGTGGCCTGCTGGTGTGCGGTACGAACGCCTTCAGCCCGAAGTGTCGGCACTACAGGATCGCGGTGAGATCTGCGCACGTGTCAGCTGTGCACCGGGCGCGTACGCCTGACAACATGTAAATATTTTGCAACGTTGTATGACTGCACTCGTCCGGTTCGCTCCTAGTCCGGACACACCCGTCTGGTCACGCCTCAGCCTGATCACGCCTCAATCTAGTCACGATTCAGTCTGATGACGCCTCAGTCTGGTCACGCCTCAGTCTGATCACGCCTCGGTCTGGTCATGCCTCAGTCTAGATAATTCAGCCCGCGCTTGTCTCAATCCTGCCGAACCAGCGTGGTCACGCCTCAGTCTGATCACGCCTCAGTCTGGTCACGCCTCAGTCTGATCACGCCTCAGTCTGGTCACGCCTCAGTCTGATCACGCCTCAGTCTGGTCACGCCTCAGTCTGATCACACCTCAGTCTGGTCACGTTTCAGTATGGATAATTCCGCCTGCGGTTGTTTCAATCCTGCCGAACCAGCGTGGCCACGTGGCAGTCTGTCCGCGTCCCCGGCTCTGTCCTGTCCGCCGACTGTTTACAAACAGCACGGCGCCGGGCTCGGCGGAAGGGCGTCTCCCGGACCGGCTGCCGCGGCTGGAGGTAACTCGCGGTGCCCCAGAATAGTACCGGGCGGGACGCGGAGACCAGGGGCGGCTCCTCAGACGGCTCGGGTAACTTGGTGCTGGCGGTTGCCGGGGGGGGGGGGGGGGGGGAGGGGAGGGGGCACCGATGCAAGGGATTCGTGTGCTCGGGGTGTGAGTTCGAGAGAAATGTTTATGGGTTTGAGGAAATGGTTGCACCATGGGAGGCCAGTGCGATTCTGTTGAATGCTGCTGTCGTTTAAGAGGTGGCGCGAATCTATAATACGATAGGAATGCGGCACTCACTTGCGCTCCGTGTTCTAGTGACTTATTTGCTTTTGATCTCAGCACCACTTGCTGTCGAGTTTGGTGATGCATCGTAGCCGCTCGTGCAGAAATAATATTTGCATTCCTGGTCCAACTTGGTCTCTTCACTATTGAACCAGGCACCATATACATTTCGACCCTCTCTGTTGATCAACGATCAAAGACTGATTGGCATCGCAAAGCAACACTGAAGTTTGCAAACTCGTTTAAGAAATTGCGTCTTCGAAGGATCACCATAACTGCCGAGTATTTCCAGAGGGAGGAAATAAATGTATTACGGAAGGCAGAAAATACATTTACTGGGATGCTCGAAACGAACGTAGATATGCGCAAACCAGACCTTGGTAATTTTGGCTTTTTTGTTAAGGGGGTCATTAGGTAATTTCACTCAGCGCTGAAAATTTACTTGATCATTTACCCACGTTTATTGATATCACCATGACTTAACTATAAGCTGGCGTCGCAAAAGATTCGATAAAGATTGGGAGACTGTTCCACTTAGAACCTGGAAGTTGAAGCCGAATGTTTCAACTTCTCTGGAACAGTTCGAGCCCTACCATTCAGCAGAACAATAACCGGCTGATAGTAGAGCTGATGGGTCCTCTAATATGTGGAATCGGAAGGCTTAAGCACGCATCATTCATGCAAATTATGGTCGTATAATCCAGGCTAATGCTCAGACAATGGTCAGTATTTTCCTGATGCTCCGAAAATCTAACTGGATGCATGGAAAATATCGCCTTTGTCCTCTCAAACGCCGGACTTCGGCTGTCTGCGGGCTCCACACGCCTGATCGCCTTAGAGTTCGTCTGGAATATGTCCACGTTCCCACCACTCCAAACCCTGCTGTATAAACACTGGCATCACTCGGAATCCTCTGAGGCATTAAATGCTAGGATTAAATGTCGAAAAAAGCACTTTGCATAACGTGGAACATTTAGTCGTGCGACCATTGATGGCCGCCTTTGTTTTAACGATGAGCAGGTAGAGTGGGACCCTGTCATCGTAATAATTACTTATTTTTTGTGCATCAGCTGTTCACGTCCATACGATCGCCTTTGTTGTGGTGCGTTTGCGCGCGAGACGGTTCGTGGTGTGCTGTGTAGTCTAATTTTTCGGCGCCGAGGTCAGCTGTGCCGGCTGGGTCAGCTGCACCCCGCGCTTGCGGAGATCAGCTTGTTTCCGGCGCCTCCCAAAGTCAGGTGCATCTCACGCCTCCGAGGTCAGCTCTGTGCCCTGCAGGCGGGTCAGCCGAGTTCAGCCAGCGGGGCAGACCGGTGACCGGTGCGGCTGATCATCGTACACGACAAGCAAGTGGCGCTGAATACCTGCTTCAAACAAACAAACACAAACAAATGCGCACACGAGGGGCGGAGGTTAGGGCAGTCTCGGAGCTTTATTGTCGGGCTGAGTATTTTGGGATACAGCGGCAGGGCGGGAGATATGGTTTGTTGGTGTCCGACGAGAGGCCGGACACGCAGAACCGTGTAGCGTTGTGGCAGAACCATGCGCGAGCTAAATGGCCCTTGCTATGAGAGAGTTAAGGTAAGGTGGGTAGGGGTTGGTACGAGGCGAAGGGTGCGCGAGCTAACAAGCGCGGGTAGGCGGTTGAATACCCTTCGCTCGGGTGAGAGGGTCGATTTGACCCCCTGAAATCTCAGAAAGTAAGAGAGCTAGTGACACAAAACTTACAAGATGTATTTGCCTACACGTGAATTCTTTTGGGTCAAAATTTGAGACTCCTAGGTCATGACCTTTGGGTCATATTGGGTCAAACAAGGTAAAACTCCAGATTGGTCTCCAAATCGTCCCCAGATCCCAGAATCCATTTGATCCCAGAATCCAATTGACCCCCATAGCGCATGTTTATGAGCTCTATACTGCAGGTAAGCTCGTGAGGCCGAGGTAACAGCCACCTGTGTGCCGAATACCGTACCGAGCAGTGCCTGGTATGTTGAAAACTGGCCACCTGGTTTTTGTTCAAGATTTCCCGACCCCTGCAACCAATTTCGGTCGGATGTGGTACCAAGCGCTACACATACGCCATGCTGTTCCAGTCCAGCCACACGTTTGTCTCGTTTGGTGAAGATTCCGAGACAAGCACAAGTGGTGTACTCTCACCACTTGCAGCAAGAATATCCCTGATCCGTATTATCGCTAATCCAAAACAAACATCGCCCATGCAGTACACTCCACACATGGCCCCAGCCATATCAGCAAGTCATAAATAGTGACAAATGGCTGCTACATCGAGCGGCTGCTCCACTGCGCCGTCGGCTGCGTGTGGTCGGCCTCCACCCAGCCCTGCTCGTCGTCCGCGTTGGCGGTGGCGGCTTTGGGGCGCCTCCCCTTTGGCCGGTCAGCGCTCTTCAGTCGCGTGCCGCCGACGTATCCAGCCGGGCGATGCCCGCGTTTGCGTGTGGTCGTCTCATCCGACCCGGCGGTCTGATATACCCATTCATTAGCGGCTCTAGCGCCAGCGCAAACAGCCCGTTACCGGCCGGTCGGAGGTGGTATCGTTGTCAACAAACTGCATAGCCGCTGCCCGTGTAGTGCCGCATGGGGCGGGGGCGGGGGGAGGGGGAGCGACGCTCGGCGTCCGGCTTCCTGCTGTGATGTTCGAGCTCCCAGCTTGTAACTTCAGCTCCCAGCCAGTTTTGAGCACTTCGTTTCCGATTTTTCAAACATTTTGGACGCGAATATCTAAACAACCTGCCCACCGTTCCACACGCAAACAAAAAGGCCTTTGGTTCAAGTTAACCCATGGTTGCGACATAGAATCGAATGACACCGGTTGGACGTTTGTTGGGCCTTTCTTTCAACTGTTCAGAGGTCTGAAGTTCAGTTGGAGTACATTGCGTCTGACACGTTCTGGTTTGAGTGGATATCGATTGATTGAAACCCTTTGGCTTATTAATCTACAGTACTTTCGGGCAATGGTGGAACCTGGGGTAAGGACATTGCCTTGGCCTACGCAGACAGGTGACGGAGTTTGACAGCTCAGAGGCATTGTGTTTCAGTCTCAGAATGTCAGAACAACCAGTCAGGCTGTGCCAGCTTACGGTGCGTGGCGGCAGCACCCGGCGCTTTACCCACGCGAAGAAGACCATTCTGCTGACTTGCATTGTTTATGGGTCATACGGAGATATCCTTACAAAAGATGTATGCATGTAATGATCCAGTCCTAAAAAAAGTCCCGTAGCAATGTGCGGAACATGACTGGCATCTGGAGACCCAAAAATAACCACGGCATCTGTCGAAGTGGTCATAATATTCTGTCCTCACCATTAAATCACCTGCATTTATAAGTCCTGACCTAAAATCGCGCGCCATTCTTCCACGGAACGTGAACATTGCCTTGAACCAGACTCTGGCGCCCCGCAAGAGCTTCCCACGGTCACTTCCCCGCCACCTCTTGACCTCTGACCTGACCTTGACCGACAGGAGGGCGACTACGAGCGGCCGTCGCGGCTGGAGAAGCGGGGGGTGGGCCTCTGCCCCCACTCGCCGGTACACAACAGCACCAGCACCTACGTCGGTACGTACCCCTGCTAGGGGACCGCTCGGCGGCCGTCGGCCCCGGCCGCGTCAGGGCCAGACGGCCGGTAACGAGCGGCCCGTCGTAAGAACAAGCGTGCCACTTTGTCACATGACAGCACGCCGCGGTGGAAGCCATTTGTTCCGTGCGTGCCCCCATCATGGAAGTCTGTTGGTTTAGACAAATGGAGTGCGGAGTGGACAGTTACCTCTGCCTGCGTTTGAACTGTGGACATTAATCATCCACTTTGATTTTGTTATATTGCATTCGGGTCAAGTTAGACTTGTTTCCGCTGTTTAAGCTGATCGGGCTTGGCAATCAGCGGCCAAACTTACTTCCGAAGATAGATTGTGACTTGGTTTGATCTGTCAACATCTTACAATTTCAAAGCAGTTAGGGAGTGCTGAGAGCTAAAACCCTTACAACAGTGCAGAAATCTACGATCCTGGGTCGGATGCCGTTGAGTTTGATGCTTTTGAGCCAGAATTTGTACGCCTTCCCCGTACTACACCCAAACTCCTTCCGATCTCCATCACTCGCGACGGCCTGACCTTTTCTCATCAAAGCCACGGAACCGCGGCCACAAGACAGGCTGGCAGGATCGCTTCACGTTTTCCGGCCGGACCATTCCGTCGGCCCTTCTCGCCGGGTCAGCAGTCCGCGAGCTCTGCCGCACTCGGCTGGCGACTGCCGTTACCCCGCCGGCGGCGTCCCACCCCGGTCCTGCGCCGCCGCCGCTCAGAGGCCCCGTCGCCGACGCCGACGCCCGCGCGCCCGCGTCGGGGTCGATGGTCGGGGGAGGGTGTCGGCCTGACAGATCCGTCCCGTTCCGTACTCGATGGGTGCCGCGCATTAGCATCCATTCACGCCGCGCCGCCGGCGACCCGCGGCTCCACGGTGAGCTGGCGAGTGGAGCGAGGACCCGGCGGTGAGCTGGCGAGTGGAGGGAGAGCCCGGCGGTGAGCTGGCGAGTGGAGCGAGGGCCCGGTGATTAGCTGGCGAGTGGAGCGAGGGCCCGGCGGTGAGCTGGCGAGTGGAGCGAGGACCCGGCGGTGAGCTGGCGAGTGGAGGGAGGGTCCGGTGTGAGCTGGCGAGTGGAGGGAGGACCCGGCGGTGAGCTGGCGAGTGGAGGGAGAGCCCGGCGGTGAGCTGGCGAGTGGAGGGAGAGCCCGGCAGTGAGCTGGCGAGCGGGGCGAGGGCCCGGTGATGAGCTGGCGAGTGGAGCGAGGGCCCGGCGATGAGCTGGCGAGTAGAGCGAGGGCCCGGCGATGAGCTGGCGAGTGGAGCGAGGGCCCGGTGGTGAGCTGGCGAGTGGAGCGAGGGCCCGGCGGTGAGCTGGCGAGTGGAGCGAGGACCCGGCGGTGAGCTGGCGAGTGGAGAGAGGGCCGGTGTGAGCTGGCGAGTGAAGGGAGGACCCGGCGGTGAGCTGGCGAGTGGAGCGAGGGCCCGGCGATGAGCTGGCGAGTGGAGCGAGGGCCCGGCGGTGAGCTGGCGAGTGGAGCGAGGACCCGGCGGCAGGCTCCGGCGCTCACGGACGGGCCAATACCTGGCTCGTGAATATCATGGCGAGCGGCCGCAATATCATGTGACATCCAGAGAAGAGATGGAGTCAAGGATAGCGTTTTATCTCGGTGTGTGTTTTTTGCTGCACATGTGTGGTGCTCATTTCCACACGGTTGTTTAAAGAGTCAGCTTGTGTGTAGTTGCAAGGTGACTGAACACAAACTTTAGCCATCCAATGCTGCAATTCGTAACAATTCAGCAGCGATCCATGAACTAGGCGGTGGGACCTTTCACACTCACGACAGAGATGTTTTGAATGAACGTGGTGTACCTGGCGCCCCGCCGTCAGTCAAAGGCCATGTCGCGTCGATAACGACGATTGACCTTAGCAAGGCCTTTAATAGCGTTGATCACTGCGTTCTCCTGAGCAAGTTGGAATGATGCGCGGTGTCCTCGGAATGGTTCCGGGACTGCCTGAACGGTGGGAAACAGGTGGTTAATGGTGGGTCAGTTATCCCTATACCACGGGGTGGCCCAGGGATTCCTTGTGGGCCCAGTGCTGTTCCTTATGTTCATCAACGACCCATCCAGCTTCTTACCTCACGGCCGCCTTCTATCCTACGCTGATGATACCCAACTCCTTGACTCCGCTGCCCCCGATGTCGTCGGCCTGTCCAACCTGAAAGCCCGTGTCTAAAAGTCCATGTAATGCCTTCGAAACTAGTTTCAGCCAAGCAGCCTTGAAGTGAACCCCAAAAAGACAGACTTCATGCTGATCGGCACCAAGCCCTCCATCACAATGATTGTCAACTTCCACATTGCCATCTTTTGCACAGGTATTCATCCATCATCTTCAGGGGAGGTACTGGATGTGCTTCTCGACCACCACTTTACGTTGGAACCCCACATCTCCTCACTCATTCGGCGTTATAATGCAATCATCGTATCCCTGTTCAAAATGCGACACCACTCCACTCCCAAGGTTCCGAATTTTCTTCTCCAAACTCGCGTCTTCTCCCACATCCTCTACTGCTTGTTCATGTGGGGTGGAGCGGCCGAGCGTCACTTAGACAGGGTGCAAAGGGCGATGCACTTCACAGCCAGGCTAATAAGTGGTGTCCGCCGCAGTAATCACGTTTCACCCGTTCTGGAAGCACTCGGCTGGCGTAGCGTTGCGGATCTTGTACGCCACCGGAACTGACGTCGGGCATTCCTGATTACTTAAATCGCCGTCTCATTAACTGAAACCGCTTTCACCTGTGCGCATAGGTGTATCTGTGTACTGTGTGTATGTTTTCCTTCTACGACTAGGCGCAGAACAATCTCCACATCGATGCGCCTTCAATAAAATAAATGTTAATGTAAATGTAACTGCCGTAATTGTCCTGACCAGCCGTGGGTCTCAGTCGGGTCCTGGGCCCGGGGGGCTTCCGAGGGACCCGCAGCGGGCCTGTATGCCGGCGGCGGTCAGAAGTGGGCGGCAGACCAGTCCCGGTGCTTGATCCCGACCGCCAGCAGTCGGCCCCGCAGGGTATTCAGTCCAGTCCCGGGGACTTGCCGGTGCCGCACGCGCCATCGGTCCGTCTCGGACGACCTCGGACAGAGCGGCCGGCGGTGGGGGGTGAGCCGAGACCGACAGCGGTCCGACGCCACCGGGGCGGGCTTTTTCTGCACGTGGGGGCACACCAGCGGAGCCGGCCTCCTCGGGAAAACGGCCGGCGCCTGGGTAAGCACTGACCGACGTCAGGCTGCGCGCATCTATGGCCTATGCGCGCATTATGGTCGCGTTCCGTTCAGAAGGGCTTCCGGTACCGCACACCCGCTCCTTTGAATGGGTGCCGCTCCGCCCGAACGCTGCTCTGAGCTGGGAGGCCCGAGCCGGAGCGCTTGCTGAGGCGTGCGCGTGTGCGCCTGGCCGACGTCATTGGTATTCCCGCCGCACGTGGCCGATGTGGTTTTCCGCCGTATCGGGCCAGCCAGCCGACGGCAACATACTGCCCGTCCATTAGCCCCCGGCGTAAGGAGGACTTTGATTTCCCCGCGGCCTGCGCGCCGCCTCACAATGCTCACCGCGAGGCTCTCGGGAAAGTTTAGTAAACAACTCTCTCGAGGGGACGTGGAGCGACGCAAACGGCTCGGCGCGCGCCTCGCGTGATGTGTCACTGGTTGGAGCCGGTGAGCGCGCCCCGCCCATGCTGAGATTGGAGCTGGCGAGGGGGCCGAGTTGTGAAGGGCGTGGTGGCCGTCTGCGGAGCCGGTGGTGCCGTGGAAAATGTTCAGCATGATACCACCCCCACGGCGCAGATGGTAGATCGTCTGACACTCAGGGGCGCGGGGACTATGCTCAAGTTTGGGGGGCCAACTCCAAAATGTCAAGATGGGCCCTCTAAGATTAAACAGTGGGGCCCCCAGAAACCCGAACCGGCCCTTAACAGATTTCCGGGGCGTAAAATTTAAATCGACCCGTGACAAAATTCAGGGCGTGGCCAGTCAAAAAAATGGCCAAAGACGACAGGCTCCCCACTCACCTTAGACGGCACTCTCACTTGAAAAAGAAAACGCCTCGAGATATCCTGGTTGTGCCCCTGGTTACAAGACGTCACGCAATGCCTTTTTATCTCTCATCTACCGTTCAATGGTCAAAGATGACTCACTGTACACAGCGGCAATTTCATAATTTTGGTATGACATCTAACCTTAGAAATATTGGCATTCTTAATACAAAATATAAAAACTTCAATACATGTCTTGTCACTTATTGTTCCGCGCGACATATGCTGAAATTTTTATTTTTAGCGGTGAATATTAACACATTGTCCATGACAATCTACTGCAGAATTATTCGGTGACTTTTTACATCCGTGCACCGAAAATAAATGACGGAAGCTAAGAAAAAGGATTTGAACAATTGATTTTCACGAATATCAACATCATTTTTTTAAAAGATGATGACACCTAACGCAAAATAAACTTGGCTACACTGTCACAACAAGACGTTTTCTCGTGCTGCGTTAGCAACTGGTTCGAGTAATATGGACTTAGGCGTCACAAAATGTTGGAAGAACAGCTGGCGTACATTAAAGAAGCACCTGGTGTTGAACAGTTTTGCAGCGGAAACGATTTGAGGAAGTTAGCATGTAGAGTAGTCCGGTCACACGGATACAGGAGGGCAGTCCTGCCTGCCAATTGGTGGAGGGATTACGAGCGTTCCAAAATAGGGCATGAGCGAGCTGAACTACGAAATTAGTTTCATGTTGATGAAAGCATGATGGTTTCAACGAGGCATGCTGCCGACCTGCCATGAGAAGGCCCGCTTGTCGTCTCTGGCGGCTGGCCGGCTCAGGAACGCACCGTCGACTGCCTCTTGCGGCTGGCCGGCTAAGAAACGCACCGTCGACTGGCTCTCACGGCTGGCCGGCTCAGGAACGCACCGTCGACTGCCTCTCGCGGCTGGCCGACTCAGGAACGCACCGTCGACTGCCTCTCGCGGCTGGCCG